AGTCGGGAGAAGGGGAACAAGAAGCATCCAAGGCTTGGAAGTGCCCTGCCTCCCCCCAACCCCTTGCGTCCTTGGCATGGAGATAGCCGTGGAACTCCCTGCTGCAGGGGGCTAGTGATGCCGAAGGCAGAGAAATGGGATGGGATGGGACATGGGTGCTGGGAAGATCCAGGGGAGCCTAGCGCTCACCAGAAGAGGAGACGAGCTCTTTCAACAGGTGCACTAGGGTCTGCAGCCTGAGTACTGTATTGCTCCCGCATTTTCAAGGCCCGATGGTAGGAACAGGCGCCTACCTTCCCCCCCATGGAAGTGGATATCTTCACCCTGCTTCCATCCTTACGAAACCCCACTGGAGCATCAGCCTCCCATCTTGGAGCTCAATGCATCGAACGTGCTGGGATAAAAAGCCTTTCCGACGGCCCTGCGGAGAAGTCAAGTGGAGTTTTCACAGTCCCCGCAGAGAAAACAGAGGGGTTGACTTACAAAAAGGACAATACGGTGTCGGAAACCGGGGGAAGGTCCATGTGGGCTTATTGCTTCGCCTCTGCTCCTGGGGCTTGTGCCCACCTTCCCTGCAAGGCACTGGGGCTGCCACTGTCGGGTGCCGGGTGCACGGCCCTGGCAGGATCGAGTCTGGGAATGCCCTATGTGCCCTGCTGGCATGGGATCCTGTCTCCTAAGGAAAGGACTTGCCCAGCAAAGAGCCTGGGCACCCTTAACTCTGCCCCCGGTAGAGGTCAAGGTAGAGATATAGATTGAGATGAAAGCTGGATGGAAACCAGCCTGGGAGTTGCGACACGTTTCCAAGCACTAACTGCAGGGTAGATTGGCTCTTTCTATAGCTGGATAGCCATTTTTATGGTGCAGTTGTTGCTTTGCGCGTGTGGCCAGCGTAAGTTTATGGCGCGATTTGCCAGGGACTTGCGTAATACATGTGACACGTAGCGGGGGGCTGTGTGTCTGACGCCCAGCACTGCAACCAGCTGGAGATCCTCCAGTAGTGCAAGCAGCTGGGGCCCATCCCTCTCCGCTGTCCCCGTGAGTGGCACCGCCGTGGGAGCTTCCCACGGGCAGGGAGGCTGAAGCCGGGGCTCTGCGTGGAGCCACAAGCTCACTCTTCTGTGCAGAGACCCTGCCCCGGGGCGAGGGGTCAGACCTGGGTGCCCCAGAGCCCCGCAGGGATGCCCACCCCTTGCCTCCTCCCGGCTTGGCGTGTTTTAAAGGCACTCGGTATTTTTAGGTTTCCTGCCGCTGGCACGGGCGTGTGGTTGCAGCGAGATACAGTGCGGTCTAACGTCCTGCTGGCGTGCGGTCGTGCCACATTCACCGCTCCCCCCCCCCCCGGGGGAC